AAGCCAAAAGAGGATGGAAGGGCAGAGCACCAGGAAATATCATGGGTAAAAATGTTTGTGAAAAACATCTTGCCCACTCCTCAAGGCTGGTGTAGGGTCTTATTACTCATACCTCCAGCTCTGTAGAGATGGTTCAAACTGGTGTTTTCAACCACAAACCTTAATGGAGAAGCCGTTATGTGCTGGGCCCTCAGAATACAAATATGAGTAGGTTTGATATAATGCAAAGCTCCTTTTAGGGAGTTTCTCAAACTGTAACTGCCTTGGTGTATCTCTGATATTCTGGTTCAGTAGGTGTCCCCACATCTGCCCTTTTCAATAACTACCGATGCAGTTCTGATGCCCAGTCTTGGTGAAGAACTCCTGGCTTATGTCATTATCTGTTGTAAACGTGGAGGCTGTTAATGACGTATCATAGTGACATGTAGTGGACCAAGATACAGAGGATATCTTTAAATGGCAGTGGTGATCTGAAAAGGAGCCTGCTGTTGCCTTTCTTTCCTGTCCAGAATAGTGTGGGCATGCGCACAGATGATGAAAGAGAAGCAGCATTTGGATTCTGAATTTGGAGCCTTCAATTCTGGTACCCCAGTTCTGAGCAGGTGTGGTCACTGCCTTTTTCCTCCAACTCCCATTCCCCTCTAGTTTCCTCAGCCTCTCAGTTGGCTGGCCTTCAAGCCCAAGTGAGTGGATGGGATTCAGATGACTACTGTGCTGTCTCGGGACAGAGGGTGGGCACATTGGCATGAGCTACAGGAAGGTAGATTTTGATTCAAAATAAGGATGAGGTGAAACTGTTTGTCATAGTAAGAGTTGGCCAACAGCAGGAAGTCTGTCTTGTGAAGTAGTGAGATTTCCTTTGTAGGGAGGGTTCAATGGCAGCTGCGGGTCCATCCCTCTGAAATGCTGCAGGGAGTGTCCCTCTTGGGGTGGGCTTGAACTGTCACCACTCAGCTCTGGTTGGGGGAAGAAGAGATTACTCCAGTTCTTGTCTTCTTTTCAAACCCTGTTCATATCCCATACCATCCTTCTCCTTTCTATGCCATCTCATCTGAATTCTCAATAACTCACGCCAGGTCTGTAAGAGGCGGTCAGGATCCTCGTGCCGTACTCGGTCAGTGCTAGTAATGAGTGAGTTGTCTGGAGCCTGCTGACTGTACAGGCATCAAGCCTGTCTGCTGGATTTTTCTGAGGAGCCGGGTCTCCCTCCAGCAAGTGTGCGAAGTCCTGTGTGGGTGTGGGTGTGTCTGTCACGCCTGTGCTTGCACATGAGTGTGAGTACTGTAACTAGAGTCCCAGCTCAGAGTAACAGAAAGGCAGTTTGCTTAGTGGCATATGTGAGCAGAGTAGTAGCTGTGGTCTTTGTTACCAGGGAGGGACTAGACACCCCTCTCGCCTCCCCCCTCCTTTCTCCTCTCCTCCATATTCCCCCTGCCCCAGGCTGGCACCTTCAGGTTAATTTCCTTGGCTGCCGCGATGACTCTGTCCTCCCTCTACCACACACATGGGCTTTGAGTTATGTGCCTCCTGCTCTAATGAGATAAACAACATAACTCTCGCGGGGCTCTGCTCGTCCTTCTGTAAGTGGAGCTCCAGGGCCGAATGCATCGGCCTTTTAGAGGCACGCTGGTGCCTGTCAGCCTGGAAGGAGGGCAAGGAAGGGGGGGGCGCACCCCTGGCAGAGTTCTTGGGGCCGCTTGCTTTTTGAGATGAGGTAGAGTCAAAGCAGGCATCAAAGGGAGGCCTGTGTCCATCCTCGTGGTGAAAGCAGCAATGAACAGCAGGGGCATGTGGGGTTGGGGGGGGCCTTGTCATGCCACGTGGCCATCGAGTCCAGACTCATCTAAACAGCTAACTCATGATAATTAATAACTAACATATATACAAGGCTTCATGGTTTTAAAGAGCTTCTTGTTGAATATAAGCTAATCCCTCCAACAGTCCCTTTAAGTAGATATTATTGACACTCTTACGGGTAAGGAGACAGGCTCAGAAAGGTGTGGCGATACTTCCGAGGTGACAGGGCGTGGTGCTGTGAGGACTCGTGTGCTCTTCCTCTGTGCTGTGGGGCTTCTTCAGTCCATCAGAGAAAGTTAGAGAATGAAATAACAATAGTCTCCTCTTCTGGACACTTAAACTACTTACTAAAGTTGATTCTCCCAGGAGAGACAGTGGGCCTACAGCTATAGGCTGCATGGCCTGAGGCTGCCTCAGGGCTGCTGACCAGCAAGTGCAGTGACCACAGTCACAGGGAGGGTGTAGGACCCGGACGAATGTTGATGGTTTGGAAGTCTTGTCACTTAAACCTTTTGAGAGTGCTGGGGTAGGCCTGTCCTTCTCACCTACTGGCTTTTGGTCGGGTTGGGAATACCGTGGAGCAGCCTGCAGGGCAAGATGGAGCCTAAGGCATGGAGACTGCCATCTTGGGGTGGGTGGGTGGGCTCTGGGATCACTTCTGAGCCCACCTGGGGGATAGAGATAGGTTTGGATGGTTTGGATGTGGAGCCAGGAGCAGTAGGGCCAGTGGTCATTCACCTCATTTCTGAGTCTGATTCAATTCTGGTTGAAGCCTTGATACTTATTTTTGTATGTGCCTGCTGGGCACTGTGCTAAGCCTTGGAGATACTAGAGGTGGATGTGGTTCCTGCTATCTTGGATCTTATAAAACCAGTAGGGGAGACTAATAAGCAGGCAGTTAATGGCAACATCTTTGAGGAAACACAGGGGACCTGGGATCCTACAGGTAAGGCCTTAAACCAGTCTTGGCCCATCAGAGAGAACATTCAGGCAGATGAAGTAGAACTCTAACCAGATGATGCTTAGACATCCAGAGGTTCTCAGACATTGAAACAATTTATAAAGGTCTTAAAAAATGGTTGTCCAATTCTCCCACCCACCTTCCTTCAGATTAGGTAGGTTTGGCATGAGTTTTAGGTATTGATGTTATTAAGAAGTTCTCCAGGTGATGTTTGGTTGTCAGCCTGGATGAAGAATCACTGACCCAAGATGAATGGGAATTGGTGGGACCAGGTTGTGGGATGTGGAGTAGTGGGTGAGCCCTTGTCCCTGGCCGTCTCTGGGATTCTGGGGAATACCAGCCCAAACTTTGGGAAGGGACTCAGAATCAGTACATCCATTTAGGAATTTTTGGGGTCAGAGATGACATGGTCCTGGAGTGAACCACACCAGAAGTCTCTCTTCTCTCAAAGAGAGGTCAAAACTAGACTTCCCATGGGAGGAGGAGCAATCTTATTTTATCTGATTTATTTGGTCTTCTACAAATCAGCCACAAGTCTGGTCCTCAGAGCTGAGGGAGCTCAGCTGCAGGATCCTCCTACTGCGCAGAAGTCCATGAAGTTACCAACAAAATCAAGTATTAGTTTGAATCTTGGACATAATAAGTCCTTTGCTCATAACAGCAGAGATTTCTCTGGGGCCTCTAGGCTCCATCACCCTTAATGATTTCTAAGAATCAAAGGGAGGGATAGGGTCCTCCAACTTGTTCACAACATGGCAGCCTTGGAAGCAGTTGTGTGATTAAAAAATGAAACTTAGCACATAAAGAGAATTCAAAAATTTTTTGTTTCTTTAGTGCTAGAATAGTTGCCTCTGCTTTGGACTCAATTCAATTAATGGGTCGAGATGACTAGTAAAAATGAAAAATGGGTGAATGGATATATAGCAATGAAATTTTTGTAGGTTTCTCTGCAAAAGGCAAAATATGAAGTCAACTTTCTTCTTAATTTTTTAGAGGCACCCCCCCAAATGGCAGACAGCAGATGGGAATAGGGTCCTGATGTTCTGAACCCTGTGGTTCTAGGTCTAGGAAGTGACCTCAGGAGAGGATGTCTGCCTCTGACAGCTGTCACATGCCACTTAACTACAGAAGACTGAGTTGTTACTTTGATTAAAGTGAAGTTGGAACATAATCATTTGTTCATTCATTCACTCATTTATTCAGCAGATGTTTAGTCTGATTCTTCTAAAGGCGCAGCTCTCGGGGGGAATTTGGGTGGGTTGGTTGGCTTTCTGGCTTATTCTGGGATGTATCAAGCAGTCTATTTCATCTGCAAATCACCTAACCAGTCTTAAGCCCTTCTCCCCCTCCCCTTAGCCCTCACCCTGTGCCCTTTTCTCTGGGAATAGACCAGGGTCTGGTGTGGGGTGTCCATGTTCCTCCAAGGCCTCGGGCTGCCACACTGTGTGCCACAGGAACCACAGGAGTGTTAGCTGATGAGCAAAGGCTCACCAGGGTGTTGGGCATGACAGGTGATGCTGGTGGGAAACATAGGTACCAAGGGCCAAATCTAAATGGAGGTTCTGGTTGGGAGCCAGTGGGGTTGGTATATCGGCCCAGCCTTTGGACTCCTGCCCATTTATTTCTGCAAGGCCCAGGCAGGTGGGCAGGGCTGTATTAGGTATGCTAGCTCTGCAGGCCATGGAGAATGACCACCAGAACAGGCTTATATTCTGATGGAGGTTACACAGGACTTCCATAAACTTCAGTGAGCTGCCAGAAGCTAAAGTGGTTGCAAGAAGCCAATAGGTAGGAGATTTGGTTCTCTGATCCTGTTTCCTTGAAAGGCTTCCTAATCCAGGCTGTCCATAGGTAGGCAGACTGACTTCTGCTCCACCTCAAGGGAACCTGCTTAACCTAGACCTGGACAGAGGGGCAGTCAGTGGGCAGTAACTGGAGATCCACTGCCTTGGGAACACTGTAGTGAGGTTGAGTCTGGAAAGGTCCCTGTGATCTCCCAAGACCTGGAGAGCAGAACTGGTCTGGGTAGTGGTGATGGCATGTGCTTACTGAGACAGCATGGTGGAGCAGACACAGCAAGGGTCCTGGGGTCAGATGACCTAGATTCTGCCTCAGCTCCATCATCAACCAGTTGTGTGACCTTGACCCAGTTCTCTCATAGTGTGAATGAGAGGGTTAAACGGTGCTTTCCAAGGCTGCTTCCAGCCTGGTCCTTTAACCTTTACACTGTCTCTGTCTACAGGCCTTGCCCCGGGCCAGCTGTACACATACCCTGCCCGCTGCTGGCGCAAGAAGAGACGATTGCACCCACCTGAGGAGCCAAAGCTGCGGCTGCTGGAAATCAAACCTGGTCAGTGACCCTGGAGCGTGGCTGAGCTCATGCTGGGAGAGGTGGGGCAGGCTGGGCTGGCCTGGGCGAGGTTGCTTTGCTTCTTTGTCCATAGGGCTGAGTTTTCCAGGAGGGTGAGCCTCTGTGCCCACCCTCATGTTTAAGCACAAGCGTCTCTCCTTGGTGTCTTGTGTCTCTCCCTGTTTTGTCTCCCTCTTGCCACCCCCATGGGAGTAAAGCAGGAGCATAGGGTGGGAAGAGGCCAAGGTGAATCAGTTTCCCAACAGAGCTGAAGGAGCTGCAGAAGTTCTGGGTCATGTGACACCTTCCTGTTCTGGGTTGTGTGTTTCTAAGGAGAGTGCAGTGTGTACCCTCTCCCCTTCCTTCCAGACTTGAACTTCTGGGGAATCTTACACGAAGAGGTCCAGTCCCTAAAATAGGACCCATTATGGGCATTGAAATGGAAGAGTTTGAATTCAGATTTAGCCTTTAAGTGATGCCGATTGCTTTGTGGCTGTGCAGGAGGATTGGTTAGTGTTCTTGACTCCTGACCTGTTAGTACACTTCCAATCAGATAGCCATCTTCAGACCTGTGACTGGGCTGCAGCAAGGCCAGGTAATTGCCCTGCATCCTCAGCTTCTTAGAAATATCTGGTTTTAGGGGTGCCAGGGCTGGACATGATTCAGGGTGGTGCGAGCAGTGCTGTTAAGTGGAGCAAAGGCAGAGCTGGCATGTCCCTCTTGTTGCCTCCAGACATACAGACCCGGCCGAGGCTGGCTGCCTGGCAACGTTACCTCACTCCTGCCTTTCCATGCTGACTCCTTAGGCTGCTTTTTCTCTGCAAAATCTCTACTTACAGCTGTTTGGGATGCTTTCTCTCACAGTTCTATGGTAAAGCCTGCTTTGATTGTTCTCTTTAAGAAACAGATTTCCCTTGTGTAGAAGTTTTATTTGTTAGGGGTATGTAGGGCTAGATTTTTCAGTGTGCTCCATCCAAGTTCGCAAATGGCCTTGAACAATTTGCAGACCCTCGTAAACACTACAGGGTAATGGCTGAGGTTTTTCCAACGTCCCTGAGATGCAGGTTGTAAGAGGGCCTAGTCTCCCAGAGCAGTATAATTCAATAGAAATAGAATGCAAGCCATGTGTCACTTTATATTCCTAAATTGCAAATAGGAAAAAGACGTAAAATTAATTGTAGTAATGGATTCTATTTAACCTCACATCAATAACATAACTTCAGCATATAATCAATATAAAAATTATAAATGAGGTATTTATGTTCCTTTTTTTTTGTATTTTTTAAAATTCCAGTGTGCATTTTACAAGTTCAGCACGTATCACCGTGGACTAGCCACATTTCAAGTGCTCTGTTGCCACATGCGGTTAGCGGTGCCCATATTGGTTAGTGTGGTTCTAGAACCACACACATAGTGTGTGATCTTGACCAGCAGCATAGACATCACCTGGGAGCTCGGTAGAGATGTAGAATCTTGGGCCTCACTCCAAATCTGCTGAGTCAGAATATGCATTTTATCAAATTCTCAGGACTGCCTCCATAGAATGCACAGTGAAATTGAGGAACACTTGATTTGAAGATTCCCAGGTGGCTGAACCACAAGTTGGCATGGCACGACTCTGTATCATCTACATTCTTTATTAAACATGAACAACTGTCAATATGAATACTTTATTTTGGAGGTGGGAGCTCCCTCCTTCCTTGTTCTAGATCTACTAGTCCTGGTCTCTTACAAGTGGCATGGATGAGTGAGGAGGTAATCCCTGGTCTGATCCTTACCTGGATCGATTTAATTTTAGCCCATTCAGAGTTTTTCCACGGGTGCTATAGTGAAAGCGTGAGCGTATGTCAGGTTGACTGTGTGGACTCTGAGGAAAGGCGTTATTCCAGTGTCTGTCTCTAGCTGGATGTGTCTACCTGTTGGAGTTCATGAGCCCTCTGGGTTTATTTCCCCATCTGTAAATGGGCACAGCGATACTTGGAGGTTCATTGTGCTGATCAGACAAGTCACATGTCTAGTACAGGCAGACCTCAGAGATGCTGTGGGTTCAGTTCCAGACCACCGCACCAAAGGTGATACTGCAATAAAGCAAGTCAAGTGAATTTTTCAGTTTCCCAGTGCATATAAATGTTATGTTTAGCCTATATTGTCATCTCTTAAGTGTGGAATAGCATTCTGTCTGAAAAAACAATGTACCTGTCTTAATTTAAAAATATGTTATTGCAAAAAATGCTGACCATTATCTGATCCTTCAGCAAGTCATTATCTTTTTGCTGGTGGAGGGTTTTGCCTCCGTGTTGATGCCTGCTGACTGATAAGGGTGGTGGTTGCTGAAGGTTGAGGGTAGCTGCGGCAGTTTCTTAAAATAAGACAATAATGAAGTTTGTGTCATTGATGGACTCTTTCTTTGATGGGTGATTTCTCTGTAGCATGTGAGGGCATTTGATAGCATTTTACCCACAGTAGAACTTTCAAAGTTGGAGTTAGTTCTCTCAAACTCTGCTACTGCTTTATCACCTAAGGTTATGTAATATTCTAAATCCTTTGTTGTCATTTCAACAATCTGCACAGCATCTTCACCAGGAGTAGATTCCATCTCAAGAAACCACTTTCTTTGCTTATCCATAAGAAGCAACTTCTCATCTGTAAAGTTTTATCAAGAGATTGTAGCAATGTAGTCACGACTTCAGGCTCCCCTTCGAATTCTAGTTCTCTTGCTATTTCCTACCAATCTGCAGTTACTTCCTCCACTGAAGATTTGAACTCTGTGAGGGTTGGAATTGACTTCTTCCAAACTCCTGTTAATGTTGATATTTTGACCTCTTCCCATGAATCACAAATGTTCTTAATGACATCTGGAATGGTGACTCCTTTCCAGAAGGTTTTCAATTTGCTTTGCCAGATCCAGCAGATGAATCACTATCTATGGCTGCTATAGCCTTACAAAAAGTGTTTCTTAAATAATAATGCTTGAAAGCTGAAATTACTTCTTGACCCACGAGCCACTGTATTGGCAGGCATAAAAACAATATTAATCTCATTGTACATCCCCATCAGAGCTCTTGGTGACAAGGTGTATTGTCAGCGAGCAGTAATATTATTTATTTATATATTTACTTACTTATTTTTATTTTGTTATCATTAATCTACAGTTACATGAGGAACAATATGTTTACTAGGGTCCCCCCATCCATCAGCGTAGTAAGATGTTGTAGAATCACTACTTGTCTTCTCTATGTTGCACAGCCCTCCCCATTCCTACCCCCCACATTATACATGCTAATCGTAATACCCCCTTTCTTCTTCCTGCCCTTATCCCTCCCTTCCCTACCATCCTCCCCAGTCCCTTTCCCTTTGGTAACTGTTAGTCCATTATTGGGTTCTGTGATTCTGCTGCTGTTTTATTCCTTCAGTTTTGCTTTGTTCTTATACTCCACATATGAGTGAAATCATTTGGTACTTGTCTTTCTCTGCTTGGCTTATTTCACGGAGCATAATACCCTCTAGCTCCATCCATGTTGTTGCAAATGGTAGGATTTGTTTTCTTCTTATGGCTGAATAATATTCCATTGTGTATATGTACCACATCTTCTTTAACCATTCATCTACTGATGGACACTTAGGTTGCTTCCATTTCTT